CGGCGCACGTGTAACCCCTGGGGTGGCCTGGGGATCACGGGCGGGTTCGTCGATGTCGGTGGGTTGTACGACTGTCTTGCGGGGATATGGGACGGGGTGGCGGACGAAGGGATACTCGATCTGTATAGCGAGAAGAGGCGGGAGAAGTGGAAGACGATCATCGACCCTATATCGCAGGAGAACTTTAGGCGGGTGTCTGATGCGGATCCGGGGACGAGGTTGGAGAGGGATGGGTTTATGCAGATGTGTGTGCGGGCTGAGAAGGATCCGGGGTTTATGAAGGAGTTGATGATGGGGAGCTTTGAGGTGAGGTACGATTTTACGCAGCATTTTAAGAAGGTCAACGGGTAAGAGTGAGGAGTGTCGATAAGGAGCCATTCACCTCGGCGGAGGTCCCGTTGTATATGATGATTGAAGAGATAGTATCTAGGTATGCCAAGCTGATCATTAAGCATGTCACATTTTCGCACGTTATACGCCTTCATGGCCAAGTTCACAGGTATTCAGCCGAGCAACATGCTGCCACAACTTACACCAGGGGAACTAAGCCAAGGACTAGGTATCTTCCCGTCTCTTAGGCTACCAATCTCCTAACGTCGCGTGCAAGTTCCAGGAGTGAAGAATTTATACTAGGTAGACTGTTTGGATTATACGTAGTGGTACCGATGATGGGTTAACATGATCTGGAATGACTTCTCGTCATCATCTACCTTTCTGTTCAACTGATACAAGCAGTAACGCCCCAGGTGTCCCTCCGCCTTGGTGCCCTCGAGATCATGTTACCAGCATCTCAATTAGATAATCGCAATGTCGTTATTACCTATAATAGTAACGATAATATCCATACCTCCGTCTAGTCTTCTCGCAGGCTAAGTGCTATGATATAAATATAGCTACTGAGCGTTTTACCTTGACCTAGCACCGCAACATCGGCGAAGCTACGTTGTTTTCTGGCGTTGTGTATGAAGCAAATGAGCATCAAAATATCAGTAGGGTGATAATTGAATATCTTTGAGTCTCTCTAAAGATTGAGCATCTCTTTGGGATGGCCTCAGGGAGTAAATCATTTAGAAGATGGCTGCCTACCGAAATTGGAAAGGTAGAAGCCGGTGAAGAATGGGGCGCTGGAATTACGAGGCTACTCGTATCATTCCTTTTTCACCTGTGGTATAAGAAATCAACGATTAGCGACTGGACTGATGTTGTAACTTTGGGAAACTTATTCTTAAAGGCCAATGTATGATCCTCAAGTAGTATCGATCCACGCTATCTCCGCCATATAAATTTGAGGTGTGTGGAGGTAAAGGTAGACTAAGAACGGAGTTTCGAATATGCTTGCTCCTAAAGATTAAAGCCCATAGATTATCCCTTCCAGGTTAGCATCACCGGATCGAAAACACTATGTGTCAAGCTTTGTGGTAGTCTGTGATGACCGACGGGCCGGCCCCACCTACGGGACAACATTCGGAATATATGGGGCCCATACTCCGTCTCCCGTCATTTACGCTACAAGACGCCGGCGTTCGGGATAACTCCGATACAATGGCTGGCCTCACTCTACCGCAACGTCTGGTCTATCTTCAACAAGTCTAGCTCACACTCACTTAATTCATTGCACAAGCCGATGAAGTGACCGAGAGAAGGATTGTGTTCACCTTGCACAATTGCATAACTCCCTCGGAGGAGTGGGGTTGCCATGATGGACCGTCGGTCCACACCTATTCTCAGCGCTCCAATAAGAGACTCGCACCCGGCGCTTAATCCTAATGGTTCACTGCAACCCAATTTGTCACTGCAGACAGAATGTCATCCCCTTGTCGACCTCTTCCCCTTCTTCATCCAACTCATACTATCCATTGTTGTCAACTCACGGAGTATGTGATACGAATAATTGGAAAGGCGGACTGCAAATACCTCGAGAAGAGACATTCCGAGCCCAGTGACCAAAATAATGACTTTGCAAGAGGCTCAGCAGTGGCAAGGCATTCTAGGTCCTGGTCTAGCCCCCGCAGGGCCGCGGCCCCTCGATCATCTCTCGAGCGCTTAGCCATCACCTCTCATTCCTCAATACCCATGGCCGAGGGCCCACGTCGAGCACCGAGTTGGTGCACGATCCCTGGACGCCATCACGTCCTGTTGGCGCGATGTAGTATTCGAGTCCAGGAACGGCTCAAAATCATGCGCATCGGCTCGTTGCCGCGCTGAGGATTATGCTGTTGGTAGCAAGTTAACCTCTTAGTCTGTTTCGGCGACCCAAACTGTCGGGTTCAGTCTGTCAGTCTCGTTCCCTTAAGGTTCTGCGTCTCCCAGGAACAGGAGTTGTCTGGCTTGAGTTCCTTTCATCTCTCTTCCTCGTCTTCTCTTTCGTCTTGTTTCCTTTGTTACCGGAGCTGGTTTTGGAGGCTTTCTTCCTTAGTTTCCTTTCTCTCAGGGGTTCTTGAGTCTTTTGTTGAAGCTTCGATCGACTGAGCTTCTTTCCAGTCAACCGATAACAGTTGATGGTCCCTGCATTTTACTCTCCCTCAGTCTGCGACCATTGTCCATCGAGGTCATGGGCATCAAAGGACCCGAAGTCCATGAAACTCGGCTTCTAGAACGCCAAGATGACTCACCTGAGAAACAGAGTCGAAAGGCTTCGTTGCCCTTTCTGTTTCATAATTCACGAGATAGCGAATGCAGTCTTGATACAGGTCAACCGAATACGAAGCCGAACCAAGAGTCGAACGCAGCAAGCTAACGTCTCCAACAGTCCACAAGCACGGTTGGAAGCCATTGACTCTCTGTGCCCCTGTGCTTTTCTCCTTTGCCTTTACGTCCTTCCTCCTTGCGGCCATAATCGAGATACTGGCACAGCAAAGCCAAGCCAAAGGAGGGCTCGCCCTATCCGAATCCGCAGACAACATACCGCCGTTAGCAAACTTCTGTTACTTGTTTTTACCTACAATCATTGCCGTCATCTACAGTCTGCTATGGAGTTGGATCGATCTCGACGTGAAGCGCATGCAGCCCTGGTTGGAGATGTCTCAGCCAGAGGGTGCCAGTGCTGAACACTCAATATTTCTCGATTATCCCTACGACTTCATTGCTTTCGTCCCATTGAAGGCTGCCAAAAGACGGTCAGACATAACCCGATCACTTCCATGCTTGGCACTTACATAAGATAGACATTGGCCGGTCTTCTACGGTGGAACGGTCATGGTCATCATCTTTTGGCTCATTACCCCCTTGCAGAGCGCTATACTCGGAACAGGGCCTGTGAATATTCAGAGGTTTATGAACACCACGACGTCCCAGGAAACAATTTCATCTTCAGATCAACCACCGATTCTGGATCAGTCTATCCTCAACGAAGGTTATGCCATCACTTGGTTGAACCAATCTCTGCCACCTTTCACAGCACCAGATTATACCCTCCTACCATTCACAGCTAACACAGAGCGGGAGCACACACCTACAACCAACTGGACAGGTAGTACAACCAAATTTTGGACTCAACTAGAGTGTTGGCCAGGCGAGATCTCCCATCATGGCTCCCCGCAGAAAAGGACCTATGATTTCATCAATGGCCGAGGCTGCAATGCCAGCGACATCGACGTGTACGGTTCTACTACTGGCGAAAGGCCGTACAAGATGCTCTATGTTGGCTACCAGAACAGTGCGTGGGCTGACTACTACCTGGCGAGGGATGATACCTGCCCTCCGAGCGCGGCCGGTCACCAATTCCTGTCCATGTGGTCGCACTGGAATGTAACCTTGCAAGAGATCAAGATAGCGTCGGCTTTCTGCGAAACCAGCTACTTCAAACAGCAGGTCAACGTCACTGTCTCTTCAACCGATCAGGCACCAATAGAGAATTCCTTGGTACCCACTGGCCCCCGCGAACGCCTACCAGAGACGGAGTTCAACTACACTGCTTTCGAGCACCTTTTGGGAGTCGGAGTCTCCTCCGTAGAAAGCACAACGAGGCGGGAGTATCCCTTTCAAGGCATCCTACTCGAGCATTATCAGCAGGTCCAGGATTTGGGCATCATCTGGCCCATGCCACCGATGGTAGGATTTGCCATCGCGGCTCAAAACAGGACACAATTGGATGCATTCGAAAACGAGACTGTCATGGGAGATGCCTACAACAAGACACACAAGATGCTTTTTTCTCTTGCACTGCGACGTGTCCTAGCCAATAGTACCAGCACAATCATGAGTGAGGGAAGAATCGATTATGTGCTACATGGCATCATCGTCAGCCGCCTGTTTTCCGCCATCGTTGAAGGCCTCCTAGGTCTCGTGGGAATTTTCACAATCCTTCTTTGGTGGCATGGCTTCCGAGCTGCGAGCAGGTTGACCATGGACCCGGCTTCACTTGGATCACTCATCAGCCTCTGTCAGAACAGTACGGTTCTTCTTGACCGATTCGCTGGGAAGGGGGCTGTATCCGAAGACACTCTCAAAGAGGCCTTTAAAGATCAAAGATTCAAGCTGTTCTGCGGTTGTCAGAGTCGTACAAGACAGATGGTTATCAAGGTTGTCGATGTCAGAGATGGTCCCGCCGATGGTCAACGCATTAGTTTATCCCAGCCTGAGAACCCCTTCTCGGTTGGTCACTACTCACCAGTGAAGCCTTTGGCTCTGAGACGCGGAATCGGTTTCGCAGTGATATTAGCTATGATCAGCGCTGTTGTTGCGCTCGTCTATCTGAAGCTGGAGGAAAAAAAGAATAGAGGTCCGCTTGTCGCCCCCTCCCCCCCCCTTTCGGAAAGTTATCTAAATCTGGAGCAGGGCTCATTCGGCCGACAACAAACTTCGAGGTCCTACAGATCCTGGAAAACTATGTTCCGACGATATTTGCTACACTTCTCGAGCCTTTTTGGGTGCTTGTCAACCGACTCCTCTGCATCATCCAACCATTCCGGGATCTATGGACGGGTCGAAAGACTGCTGGCGGATCTATCAACGCAAGATACACGTCTGTGCCTCCTCAACTGGCACTATGGCGCGCAGCGAAGTCTGGTCATTTCATGCTCATGGCGATATGTGTCTTGGCGCTACTTTCGAATCTACTCGCCGTCGGCCTCGGTGGTCTCTTCAATGAATTTCCGATAGTGATTCAAAGTCCGCAAGAGTTTCAGCAGAGCCTTATGCCACAGTTGAACGGCACAGCAATCTACTCCGACCAGGCCAGGCAGCTATTTGCTAGTAGTGTTGCAGCTTATGGTGTGCCTTTCTACGACGATGCAGCTTATGGTGTGCCTTTCACACGACGATGAACAACATCTCTCAAGGTACACCTCTTCCCGCTTGGATTACCCATGACTACTTTTTCCAGCCATTTACCCTTGGACCCGGGGTTGAGGGTACGAGCGATAGCTATACGGCACGAACGAGAGGATTCGGCTTGAACCCGTCATGTTCCTCCATCGGGACCTTCGAATCGACGGTCAAAGCTCCCGTGATCAACTACACATATACCCGTAACGGTGAAGCTGTTCCCAACTGCCCGACTACTCACCAGGCTTACTCGTTCGATTTCAACGCCACCCAGCACTTACCACAGAAGGGAGAATGTGCAGCTGAGGAGGTCAGGATGTTTGGCGACAGCAACAATTTGGTTCCTTGCAACGTTGCTTTCAGCATGGGCTGGGCAAGGGCCCCGAATATCACGGACAAGAAGGATGGAAAGATGGAATCTACTTTTGTCGTTTGCGAGCCGACCTTCACGACAGCAATGTTCGACGTCACCGTAGACCGCGACGGTCGCGTCTTCCACTCCGTTCTGGCATCCGAGCCGTCGCCGACTCTCGATTACCCCATGTCCACCAACCACACCGACGCGATCGCGGTCCTGCTCAACAAGATCTTCTTCAAAGACGGGTTACGATGGCACAACGACAGCCTGTCCCTGGACTGGTTCAACTACCTGATCAAGATCTCCGACCCGGACAGCCACGTCCTCGACCCGACCGTCTTCCCGAACGCGACCGCCCTCGCACCGACCGTCGAACGAATCTACCGACAGCTCTACGTCCTCATGCTGGGCCTGAACCCGTCCTTCCTCTTCCTCGAATACCCGCAGCCCGTCACCATCATGGGGGGCGTCCAGCGCAGGACCGAGACGCGCATCTTCATGGACGCCACCGCGCTCGTCATCAGCCTGGTGGTGCTCGGCATCAACATCGTCGTCGCCGCCGCGCTCTACGGCTTCTCCATCAAGCACTTCCTCCCCCGCATGCCGACGACCATCGGGTCGATCCTCGCCTACATCGCGCCGAGCAGGGCGGTACGCGAGTACGACGGGCCCGAGAGCCTACAGGGCGCGACGTTCAGTTTCGGACGGTACGTTGGCGACGACGGGCGGGCGAACGTGGGCATCGAACTCGACCCGTTCGTGGTGCCGGTTAAGCTTTCTTCGCTGAGAAAGGGGGATACGGAACCCAGGAAAGGATTGCTGAGTCGGGTGATGGGTAGGAGGGCCGAGAAGGGCGGGGATACCTGGCTATGAGAGGTGGCGATTGGCAAGGCGTTTTCTGGATGGGACGAAATCACGACACGGAACATCGAACGACACGGAGACGGCAAGGCGTTTTTTATCTTCCTTTCTCTCCAGATCAAGTTTGGAGTGTTTATGGTCACTCGACATTGCCTCACCACCTTCGAAAATGCGGGGGAAGAGAGAGAGGATCGCCAGAGACGCGAAAGCGACGAGCTATGGTTGATTGGGAAAAGAATTATACCCAGGGAATATGCATATCACAAACGCGGTCCACGAATCTCGCATCAAGCTCAGGGCTGAAATCGATACAAATGTCAAACAAAAGATAAAGAGACGAGAAGAATTACAGTTCGTCTAGTGCGAGCGGGAGTGCCCATGTAATCGTCCCCGTCTGCAAACTTTCGTCCACACACCCATTCTCTCAGTCCCTCGGTGTCGATCTCGGCCCATGCGCACCCTCCCGTCTGAAGTGGCATGTGTCAGTATCGCTCAGCTCGACAGGGAACAGCTCCCATTCGAAGAGGGCCCCACGCCAAAACTCTCAAACATCAAACGCTGTTGTGAATTGGCGTGTGCTTGTTAAACATGGAACAAATTTCCTCTCTGTTGTACTGGGAAGGTTATAGTTATGTCAAGCTCCCTGTCTTGTCCACAAAGCAAACCCCTCCTCCCTCAAACCCCACGAGGTCACCGACCACATTCAAGGGCCTTCCCCGCAGTGCGTGTTAGAGTGACCACATCGGATTGTCGAGCTCTGATTTTTGAGTGGCCAGGCGCACATTTGCGCTTTGACTAGGGATAAGAAGATGAGGTGTGAAGCTTTGGAATTAAATGGGCGCATTGTAGCTACCTGGGAGCTGAGTGAGCCTTCAGGCATGTAGGCAGTTCGACTAATGGTTTCACGTCACATGGAATCAGAATTCGGAAAGGAATTGATGAGCAAATGTTTATGCTATTGAAGATCTCTCACTTTTTCCCCCCTATTGACCAAGAGTGATCTAAACATGTGACCCTGATGTGGGCATGCGAAAAAGTGTACAGTGATATATACAAAAATGGTTGTAAATGTTCAAGGAGAAGAAAAAACAAAACGCCGTAGATCTGAATGTGTCGTATCCTGTATGTTGATCATGACTCGACCAGTGTGCTCCCGAGGTATCATATCCCGTAAATGCTAAACCGTTCGTTAAAAGAGTCCGCCATCAACCAGCTTAGGCGGAACGGAAGCGAAGGGAGCGCTGGCGGAGAGCACGCTTGCGGCCGTTTCGGGTCACAACCATGCTCAACTCGGCGCTGATGCCAGCAGTGCAAGAGGTACCGCCAGCGAGGGCCTGGACAGATGACCAGGTACCGCTAGCGCAGCGCTGGAAGGAGCTGCCTCCGACACAGTTCCAGGCGCCCTCATCAGTGCAGGCGGCGCCGACAGTCTGAGCACCGGCGGTGGTGCCGTTGCCGCTTCCGGTGCCAGACGAGGGAGCGGCGGAGGGAGCGGCAGAAGGGGCAGCACTGGGAGTAACTGCAGGTGCCTTAGTAGCGGAGGCAGAGGCAGTAGGAGTGGCCGAGGCGCCACCGTTGGCGGGAACGGTGATGAAGACGCCGCCGGGAAGGGAGGCGTTGCCGGTAGGCTTGGAAGCGGAGGGCTTGGATGAAGCCGGGGCGGAGGTAGGAGCAGAAGTGGGCGCGGCACCTCCGTTACCGGCGGTAGAGCTGGGGGCAGGAGAGCCGGTAGAGCCGCCGCCGGAACCACCACCAGCCTTGAGCGCATTGCAGGCCGGGGTATCGGGGAGCTCGGTGAGTTCGCCAGAAGCAAAGATGTCAACAGAAGAGCCTGGGTTGGGGAACTTGAGATCGGTGCTGTCAGTGACCTTGCAGTCGTTGATGTTGGCAACGAGCATGTCGGGAAGGGCCTCATAGGCAGTCTGAGAGCCGGCGTCTCCGGTAATGGTGACGGGTCCGCAGTTCATGTACATCTCGCGGTTTCCGACCTTGTTGAACCAAGTCCAAGCGATGGTACCGTTACCGGCGGGGATGTCCTTGGGAATGGTGAAATCGTACGTGTCCTTGCCCTGCTGGTTGGCATTGTCACCGAGGTTGCCGGCAGTATTCTTGGCCGGGCAGCCTCCCTCAATGGACTTGATGACCTTCCAGACGCTATTCTTGTCGGGCTTAGCATCGTAGGTGATAGAAACCTGGCAAGATCCACCGCCGTGGACAGCAGAACCGATGAAGGCGAGTTCGCCGGTGGCGCCCTGAGCGTAGACGTTGGAGGCACCAGCAGCGTTGTAGCTGCTAGCCTTGCAAGGGAAATCACTGCCGCTGGCATCCAGGGGGCTGTTGTTGAGGTTGGCGGCGTCGTAGGGGACGGGCGAGCTCATCTTCATGTGAGCACTGGCGAGGGTGGCCAGGCCGAAGGCGACGATTGCGTTGGCGTACATGTTGAGTGAGTTTTTTGAGTTGTGAAGTTAAGAATCTAAAACGTTCCAGACGTAAGAATCTAGGTATCGTGTGGTTGTCGTTGTGACTGTGAGTTGAGTTGGAAAGAAGTTGTGGTTTCCGAAGAATGAGTACCTTTATAAAGCATGTTAGTTCTCGATCTCAACCTAGCCATTACACAAGATCCAGCATCTTCGACAGCGCATCTGTTCCTCAACAGGCCCGACTCGAAGCAACCAGCCACAGCCACGACCGTGAAAGTCCCGGTGTGACGGGACTGGGTGCCTTCGAAGAATGACATTGTTTGTGATACAGCGCGGGCCGCGATGTCGGACAAAGGCATCGAATCGGGCCCAGGACGGCCGAGGCTGCGTGCCGTTCCTTTGAAGAGGGTCCTCGTAACATTCCAGGTTACTTACAATGTCGTCTCGCTTTGTCTTGCTAGGAGGCTTTGACGTTGCGGGATGTTTCAACAAAAAAGTGTTGGAGTGAAGGTTGAGAATCGGATAGCTGTCGATGGGTCTCGAAGTTTCGATATTCGTTTGATTCCGGAAAGGATGGTATTTGCACCAGGCGAGTTGGATATGTTGATGGAAGTTGTGAAGAAGAATAAGGACTAGCCTTTGTTGAATGAGAAGTGAGAGAAGGTAAGATGTCGAAACGACAAGTTCTTTCCAAGCCCAAAGAATGCGAGAAGACGTGATGGTCCGAGAGGATGAGGAGTAGTAGAATGGGATTGTGAGGTCGGACAAGGCCAGGTCTTATAAGACCGGAAACAGACCAAAAGGGATGATGGGCAAAAACGAAGTGAGTACCTTAGTGACTGTGACTGACAGGGCCCCACGGACAGAATATGCCGGGCTTAGTGTGCAGAGAGTGACTTAGTGACTAAACGAATGGATACGGGAAAGGAGAGGCAAAAAAGCAATAAGCACGAGCTGCAGCAGAGAACGGCGGTAATCCCAGAAGGACTGGAGAAGGATGGACTGGAGGTCGGACCGGGAGGATGAGTAGCTGAACAAGATCGGTCCACTTGGGACGAGAGAGACATGGCGTTCTTTTTAGACAGGCGTTGAGCCAAATGGGCCAGTCAAGACCAGACATGGGCATCAGATCAAGGGGATTCGAAGCATTGTGGATCGACCGAGGGGTACAGGGGCAGGCCGTTGAAGAAGGAGAGGCATGGCCTTGAGGCTATGATAGGCCGGAGACATGCCCCTCGGCTTGTTTCGACATGGCTCAAAAAGACCGGACTAAACATTCTTGTGAGTGGGCAGGGGTGTGGAGGACAGAGAGGAAAAGGACATGGAGATGAGTACGGAGTATAGGTGATCAGTCAGGGTGTGGGTGGCCATCTGGAGCTCGAGCTGCGGCTGTCGTCTGCCTGTCGACTTTGACCCATGGTCTCGCGGCAGAGGCTAAGACGGTAAGACCATGCCATGTTCCTGGGAAAGACAGATGGTGGTGGACTTTGGTATGTAGATGTGGGTGGGACATGGAGGGACGGGGACCTTGCAGCAAGGCGCGCCATGGTGCGTTGCGGGTTGGGCTGCGGTCTTTTCGAGCGACGGATGCCCCTGACTAAACTTGTCTAAGGAGGAGCCAAGGACAGCCAAAGGCGGGGGAGGAGGGAGGGTTGTCCTGTGGTGCATCTGTGGACCAGCTTCGAAGTGGTATAGACTATAGGGGAGGGATTGGTGAGGAGTTTTTCGAGCTGTCGTTGATAGCGAGGATTGAATGGCTGGGACGAGGTGGGAAGAGAGACAAGTGACACCGAGGATGGTGCGCTAGTGGGAGGGGAGGTCCGGGACTGGCGACAGGGAGCAGGGAGCGATGATGCAGGGAGCATGGGTGCGTGTTGTGGATTCTAGACTCCAGGGACCCACCGGACAACGCAGTACGTACCCTTACCACTCCCGTCCAGGAACGACGTCCCATTGGGTGCTCGGGACACGCTAACGGAGCACGAGTGCACGGTTCCTTGCCTCTCTCGATACGTACTCTTTTGGCACCAGCTCCTTTTTTCGCATAGTAGAAACGTCCCGTCTATACGTATCTTTCCATGCTACCTACTAAGGCAGGAACGGATATACGTAGTTCACTTGGAAGGGGCGAGGATGGTAGGCACGGGAATATGGAGGATCGCATAGGTGCAACCACATGTTTCCATCTAGTGCGTAGATGGCAACCCTCAACTTGCTCTAGAAGAGCGGTAGGAACATTGAAGCGCTCGAGCTGCAGCTTTCAAGACAGGAGAAGCACCAAAATCGGCGGGGACTACTGCAAGGCACCATCTGGGAGATGATCACAGCATGCAGTAGTCCTTCTGGTTGTGAGAGTCAGAATGCCACACCCAATTCTCTAGTATTCTTGGTTCCCGTCCTGTTCCTGTTACTAAATGCATTCGTCCAGACTATCTTAGTCTTGCTCGAGGCTAGATTAGAAGGGAGGCGTTGCGATGCAAGTTTAGTCATCTCATCCGGTGTATATTCTTTTTCCAACCTTGGACGGCAATGAGGCAAGTTGTTGCCTTCGCCTCGCCAAGCCTCAAGGTCCTAGGATCAGCGTAGTATACCTGGGCCTGGTAGTTAATTCTTCAACACCAGAACTTTGCCTGACAGGCAAACAGACAGCGCGGCACGGTAGCGCGGCTCGTTTGCTGACTGACGGCTCGTCCGTATGCACTGACTGGGTCCAAAGTCAAGATCGTCGAAACACGAAAAGGGCGAAGCAGTCCAGTCCATTCCATTCCAGACTTTTCGCGCTTTGCCGAACGTCGTTTCTCCCCCTTTCTTATTTGGGACAATAGGCGGCCTCCAATCAGGACATGTCGAACCTTGGATTCGGAGACGGGACTTGGGTAGTGGTGATCCATCGGCGGCCATCTTTTGCGACCCTCGCTCTCTGTCGCCCAAGAGGCCTTGGTGGCGGCCACTTAGATCCCTCGCATACCCTCGCGGGAGAGAGATACGTCACGGTGCGGCGCAACCCTGCCTGATCGCATTGGCTACGCCGCTTTCCCAGCTAACAGGGCCTGCGTTTTCGGATGCTCACCTCGTGAGCGAGAGTCCAGCGCCTTGGTGTGGGAGAAGACAGAATTGGCCCATTGCCCCCTGTCGACGATTCTGAGCGCAGGGGTTATGAGAGCGCACTCATTCCTGATGTGGACTAACGCCAAAAGGGATGGGCAAGGGGGTTTTTCAAGAGTCAAGACCAAGACATGCAACGACTGGACTGGACTGTCATGGTGTCGCCGCCGTTGTCGCGCAGCGAGCCTCACCCGCCCATCCAGCCCAATGAGCTTGGTGCACGCACGAAGCGGGCAACGGGGGAACATGGAGCCTGGAGGACGTGTTGAAGAGAGGAAGAGAAATATCAGGGTCAGGGATCGGAGAGGTGGGCGGAAAGCAAAACGCAAGTCAAAAAAAAAAAAAATCGTGGAAGAACAGGGGGGGATCCGCTGTGCCGCTGAACCACACATCCACGGCTTTCGGCAAGGCCTGATGAGCAAGGGGGTACGGAACGTGGAAGAAAGGGGGCAGACGATGTCCAAACTCTGGTTCGACGATGGAGTTGGTTCCGCGATTTTTCATATCATTCCTTTTTTTTGCAGTGAACTCACCGCTGGCCAAGACATGCACTTCTGGGACCGACAATCATCCTCAGTCCACTTGTATGTCAAGATGTCTTACTCTTGACTAAGGTGAAGAAGAACTAAAAAAGAATATCCCAGACCTCAGCATGCCAGGCGAAAGCGAGACATGCAACGGGCATCTCGAGCCGGTAGTGAGACTTTGGGAACGAGATGCCTTGACTTCTACTCGGGGGGCACACCTTGTTGCTAGTTCAGCTCACCGTCCACACCGAGAGACACACCTCCACACCTCGGTGCGCTGAGTGATACATACTGATAGGTACCTTACGTGAGGGAGGGAGCAATGCACGGAATGCAGTGTATCAGTCAGGCCCCATCCCTCCGTCCATTGTGCGCATTGTCGCTTGACAAGCTAAGAAGCCAAGACCCAATATGAACAAAGTCGCGTTGATCGACAAGATTCTCCCGAGTCAGTGATGGGTCATCCCCGTTGTGGGAAGTCTACGATGACTTGAGTAACGTAAAGTGAGAGAGTTGAATTGTCATCGGCTGCTCCCCCAACTCAATCTACTCCGTCTCGACCTCGGTATTACTGTACCCCTCTGGCCCCGGCCCTAGGCCACAAGGCGCATTTAGAGTGGACGTTTTGGCTTGTGGATTGTGGAAGGCGAAATCTTAAGAGAAAGAAAGGTAAGTGGGAGGGAGCACCGCTGTACAATCCGCACACTCGTTTACTGCGGCTGCTGTCTTAACACGTCATAAGTCTCTTCCCGGTAGTGCCGCGGTGGCAGTGTACCTTATCTCCCGGTGTTGGCCTGATAGTGGGGACCACATCCGTATCCGTACTCCGTACCTTACACGTGTGTGCGTGGACCACCTTACCTAAGCCTCAGGTCAAGATAGAGACAAAGTGGTGCATATGGGTTGTGGCGGTCTACCTTATTAGTTGCTTTAAACGATCAACGGTCTCCCCACCGAAGACATGAAAATAAGGAACGAGGTGAGCGGCTCACGACAGCCACTCGTTTTCACTATGCTATGCGCACTTGCTTCTTTCTCTTCTCTCTCCGAAAAAGTCTCTCATCCCAGTGCCGAGACCTAGTGCGCTGCGTACCCATGTTGACATGCAAAGGACAGGCCAAAGTCCCCTGACACTGCGACCTGCCCATCTGGATGTTCCCCGCCTGCTCTCCGATTTAGCGGGGGCAGGCGAGCAGATCCTCCTGTGCAAGTGCAGGGGCACAGGGGTTGGTGAAAAAGACGACGTTGGTAACGGCAGGGGCATGTTTTCTCGCTTCTCTGAAGTTCTGTGCATTTTTTCGGTTCGGTCCATCAGGGGTTCACGTACCCCCGGGCTGGGAGTCCTCCTGTCCACAGGCGACGGAGTCCAAGTCCACACAACTTGAC